CAGCTGATTGCAGCAGGTGAGTGGAGGTTGAGCCGGGAGCCAGGAGTGACAGCCACCACGCACACACAAAAAACACAGACAGGGGGAAACAAACAAACACAAAGGAGACGGCTGGAGCAGTACAGCCACCACAGCGTTACCTAATGCAATGTCTTACGGTGCCGTGTACCGGAGGGGAGAGAGCAGCAAAGGGGGGGGGAGAGAGAAGTAATACGGTTTCCTGATAAAGCTGTGGAGAGTATGTGCTGCAGGGAGGTGGATGCACAACGCACCCAGGAACGAACGCTAGCTCCGGTCCTTTTTACTGTGGACTCGATGTCCTGACAGGCTGGTATTTGTGCAACCTGCACAAACACAATACTGCACCATGATTACAAATGGTGAAATACAATGTAAAACTACCGAAAAATACCAGCTCCTTAAAACACAACCGCTCTACTCAACGCAACTCTACTATACCCGCGGTCAGAGAGCGGAGATGTGTCCCCTGTGTGATGTAATATGACGCGTTTGACGTATGACCTTAAAAAAAAGCCGTTTTTAAGAGCAGAGCTCAAAATTGCTCCTTTCCCTCTGAATTCCTGCCCTTATGTCTCGTAAAACATATCAAATCCTGCATTCACTTTTTTAATTGTAATTTTCAAGCAAGTTTAAGCATAAATGTAGAAAAAATAAAAACCTGCAAAATGCTCTTTAAGGAGTATTCCAGAGAAGGCTACATATTATCTCCAAGCAGAACTAACACTCTGCTGAAATTTGCAATGTATTGTCAGATAATTGATTTGTTTAGCAGTTATTATGGGAAATAAGTTATAGTCTGCATGCATGTTATAATGACAAACAAAAAGTAATTTATTTCACATAAATGGATCCCCCTGCAAACCTGTTGTTCAACTTCAGTAACAATTTTACTACATGACGTGAGGGCAGATTATTCATCAGGTCTTACTCGTCCAACAAGCAGAGTGCTTCTGGTAGGGATCTTCTATTGTGTATATTAATATATAGCTCTGAGGTGCCGTAAACACTGATGATCCGAGTCCTGCTGCCTTCGTATGCCTGCAGGACAGGTCCAGTTTATTTTTTTTTAAGTTACTGACGGTAAAGTTTTAATAAAAGTTAGGTTCATATTATAATTCACCAAAATGTAGTATGTATCCCTTGGGTATGAAAAACGTGTTGAATATTTTTTCTCATTAAATCTCAAGGCCAATGCTCTGAATATTCAAAATGTTCATCATTTTTTAGCTCCATGTTATCGCAGTCTTTTTTACTTCATTTTGTGACAGTGTTGTCTCTCTGTGCACAACGGCTGATAACTGTTTATCAGCAGAATATCTTAAACCGACGGCAGGAATGTGTCTTACGTTGCATGCTTGTGCATTGTCATGCACAATACACACTAAAGAATTACAAGCCTTAAACAACTTTAAATGATTCTCAAAATAGGCACCTCTTACCACCTGTCAGTCAGCATAGTTGCAACACATCGTGCAAGAAGTTAGTGTCAGGTTATTTGTAAGAACACCTATAATCAAAGAGGTCAAACACTAGGCATATCATTATTCATACTGTAGGTTAACAGTGATGGAATGACATGCTAGAGAATAGGGTAATAATAATTAATATTAATTAATAATTAATTAATTAATAATGTTACTTTTTGATTCTCCATGCTACAGTCGATCACACTGGTAAGTATTCTGCCTCCCTATTTTAGTGATGTGTTGTGGAAACCTCATGTTTTTGAGTTATTAGCCATAGTAATTAGTAATTGATTAACATGACCAAAACCTATTCAGATATTGGTTTGCTGCAAAATACATGTTGAAGGCTCAGGGATGAGGATAGTGGCACACACTGATTGTTGAAGGGAATATGCTGTACAGGACATTAGTATTGATACATTATACCAAAGGGGTTTTTAATGGTTTAACCTTAGCCCACTTTTACTTTGATATAAAGCTAAAGCATGATATGCTGGCATTATGTCCGTATAAAAAAGAAGAACAAATGTTTATCCCTGGTTTTGGGCATTTTAGATTTGAGCACCTACAAACTTAAATACGCAAAAATAACTATTTTGTATTCCATCAAAAATCAATCCCTTTAAGACCTCATCTCTTTTGAGTAAAAAACATGTTTTGCTACGTGTTAACCATATGAGCGATTCTTAGAATGTTTTTGATTAAGCAGCACAACCTCGCAGGAGACAGGGGCCCTTAGAGCTGACCTGTATGGAACCTCCACCATAAGACCCAGATATTTTCTTTCAAACTAAACTTAAGTGTGGTTATGTAAACTCTGATCATGATCATTTGAAGGTATTTTGGTACCTCTCAAGTCTAATGCACATCTCACCCATATCACATTTATATCTTAAGAGATGGACACTATTTGGGCTGAGTTGGAGGTTAATTAGACCGTAACATTTTTAAGACTATATTGTTAAGATGAGAGTTGCTGTGCAGACAGTAGACAAAATAAGAGAAACCTTACAGTACATATTTGTTGAGAGTTACAGAAATATTGATGGTATCTATAATTTCATAACTTTGTGTATCAATTGTTTCCTAATTACTTAATGTCATGTTACTATTTGAATAAGTACTTATTTTTTAAATACTAATTTATCTTGATCCTTGGGGACCCCAGTCAAAAAGGCTCATTTGCAGCATATCAAGTTTTAATGGATAAAGTTGAATAGATTAATCCAATCTTTGCCATGGTCAGTCATGTTGAAAGAGATTATTATTATTATTTCCCCAAATAATAATAATCAGTTTTTTTTTCCTTCAGATCATCAATTGCATAAATAATAATGTTAATGAAATAAGTTAACATTTTGCTTTGATGGGTTTTTTACAGTAGTTTATTCAGTCGGTAGTGCTTGAAATTGATATATAGTGTATCCGGAAAGTATTCATACCCCTTCACTTTTTCCACATTCCACACAATTTGGATTACATTTGTTTTCTTAACATTCTACACACAATACCCCATAATGACAAAGTGAAAACAGTTTTAAAATAATTTTTGCAAATTAATTACAAATAAAACACTCACATACTTTGTTGAAGCACCTTTGGCAGCAATTACAGCCTCAAATCTTCTTGAGTATGATGCTACACGCTTGGCACACCTACCTTTGGGCAGTTTCTCCCATTCTTCTTTGCAGATCGTCTCAAGCTCCATCAGCTTGGATGGGGAGTGTCGGCGCACAGCCATTTTCAGATCTCTCCAGAGATGTTCAATCGGGGTCAAGTCTGGGCTCTGGCTGAGGCACTCAAGGACATTCACAGACTTGTCCTGAAGCCACTCCTTTGTTATCTTGGCTGTGTGCTTAGGGTCGTTGTACTGTTGAAGAGTGAACCTTCGCTCCAGCCTGAGGTCCATAGCGCTCTGGAGCAGGTTTTCATCAAGGATCTCCCTGTACATTGCTGCATTCATCTTTCGCTTGATCCTGACCTCCCAGTTCCTGCCGCTGAAAACATCCCCACAGCATGAGGCTGCCA